ATCAATTACCAATGCTACTGAAGGAAGAAGTTCAAGCTCAATGAAGGAACGGTGAAAAACAAGGCTCCAGGAATTGACAGAACATTGAGATGTTTCAACAAACGGATGCAGTGCTGGAGGTACTCACTGGTGTCTGCCAAGAAATTTGGCCATCTGACTGGAAGAGGTCCATATTCGTGGAAAGGTGATCCAACAGAATGTGGACATTATTGAACAATATCATTAATATCACACACAAGCAAAATTTTGTTGACGATCACTCAAAAACAGTTGCAGCAGTACACTGACAAGGAACTGCCAGAAATTCAAGCTGGATTCAGAAGAGAGCGTGGGATGAGGGACATCACTGCTGATGTCGGTTGGATCTTTGCTGAAAGCAAACACTACCAGCAAAATATTTACCTGTGGTTTTATTGACTATGCAAAGACATTCGACTGTGTGGATCATGATAAATTATGGATAACATTTCGAATAATGGGAATTCCAGAACATTTAATTGTGCTCATGAGGAACCTGTACATACAGCAAGAGGCGGTTGTTTGAATAGAACAAGGGGATACTTCATGGTTTAAAATTTGGTCATGTTGTCAGAAGGGACCATAGGCATTGTTGTTAGGTATAGGCATTTGTTGTCATAATGTGCCATTGAGTCGGCCCCAACTCATAGCGGCCTCTCCTTGGGTTTCCGAGGTGGTATCACTATGGAAGTAGATTGCCCAACCTTCCATAATGTAGTTCTATTTCTAGTTTTTTGAGGAGTACAGATCAAAAGGGGGAAAACGCACAATAGAATGTCAAATTCTCATGAACTCCAGACTTCCTGGAGCCATAAAGGTTGGAGAACCCCCAAAACTACTGCCCTGAGAAAATCTTCAAAGCTTAAACCAAAAATATTCCCCGCAGTCTTCTTAAAACCAAACAATAGATTAACTTAACAAGTAAAAAATGTCTGTCTTAAGCATTGTGTCTTTTGAAGAACTATCTATATGGGTCAAACTAATAATAGCAAGTGAAGAGATTAGATAGGAATCTTAGGGAGCAGTGAATTTATGTTGATGAGGAGGAACAACTTAGAAAAGGAGAGTCAAAGAATGTAAACAATGCCACTAAATAGTACATGTAAAAACTGTAAAATTGGTGTATGTTTTGCCATGTAGATCCTCAACAAAAACAAAATAAAATTTTTTAAAACATTCTTAAAAAATCCAGAATTACTGGACCGGTTGACTAGAGGACTAACCAAGACTACTGCCCTGAGATACTCTTTAAACATTGAACTGACACTATCCTGGGATCACCTTTTAGGTAAATAACAGATTGGCTCAAGAAATAAAAAATATCACCTGTGAGTATTGTACTCTCTTAAAAAAAAAAAAAAATCACCTATGAGACCAAATGGTCAACGACTTCTTTTAAAAAAAAGAGAGAGAGAGAGAGATAAGTAAGAGGACAGGGAAACTAGATCACTGGAAACGAGAAAAACAGAATGAAATCAATGAGAATGTTCACATGTTGTGAAGAATTATAACCAATGTCTCTGAACAATTTTGTGTGAAAATTGTTCAATGGGAACATACTCTGCTGTGTAAACGTTCACACACACACACAAAAAAAACATTAAAATAGTATTTTAAAATAATAAGAAAGCGACATGGCCCCTAATTGTTGTTCTTGTCGTTGTTAGGTGCTGTCGAATTGGCTCTGACTCAGCGACCCTACGTACAACAGAATGAAACACTGCCCGGTCCCGTGCCAGCCTCACAATCCTTGCTATACCTGAGCTCATTGTTGCAGCCACTGTGTCAGTCCATCTCATTTGAGGGTCTTCCCTTTTTTTTTGCTGACCTTCCACTTTACCAAGCCTGATATCCTTCTCCAGGGAATGGTTCTTT